TCAGGTGGTTCCTTCACTGACTCGTGTTCAATGTTTTGCTCATTTAGGGTTATCTGTCAGTGGCTGTTGCGAGATATCTCAGACCGGAAGTCACAGCTGAAGGAAACCAAAGTGTTCATGCCAGAACAGATGAAATTGACTTGAAAAGTGCAGTAAACAAAACTGGCAGAGAAGGAAAGACAAATGAAAATGACAGAGCAGAGGTCAAGTGTTCCCCTTCTAAAGTCAGAGTGGCTACTTCTGTACAGTGGGAAAACACTGGTGTGGTCAAGAACGACAATAATGATAAACTCCATGTTCATACCACAAAAAAACTAACTTACCATTGTGCAGCGTGGTCCACTGGGACAGACACAGACAGCGAAGGACGCACAGCTGAGAAAGTTTCATTCGATGAAGAAGAACATGCAAACTGTGAGAGTGAGGAGAGAGAAACTGCACAAGAGCTGGAGGTCACTGGAAAAAATGAACAAAACGATGGTGACAATAAAGAAGCATGTGACGAGAATCATGAGGTTGAGAAGTGTGCAAAGAAGAGAGAAGATGCAGATAACACAGACGTAATGATCCAGTCTGAGCAAGATGTAGAACAGGACAAACAGATCAGCACGATGGATCATGGACAGACAGAGGGCATGGCAGCTTTTAAACTTGCAGATGAACATCCTACTGATGAAACAGAGAAACAAATCATTGTCCAGAAGAATCAGGGGAAAACTGAGAGTGATGAAGATCAGGGGACTGAATTACAAGTGCAGGATTTACTGGAATATTTGACAGATGTAGCAAACAACAATTCAAAGCCTGAGAGGCTGAAAGCAATGGACAAATATTCTGATGAAATCAATCAATTCTCTAAAAATGGGGTTGAGGAGATGATGCTTGGAACTGAGCAGGATGAAAACACCACAGAAAGGGAACAAGAAATGACTAGATATGAGCTAACGGAGTCCGCAGAAATCCTGCAGAGAGAATCTGAATCAGAAAAACATGCACCAAAAGATGAAACAGAACTGAAAATGACCACAGTAGCGGATGAAACCGTCGATGCATTAGAAGACACCCTGCTGTCGGATTCAGAACAGGACACTTCAGAAAATACTCCAGCATCAGGAACTGGCTCATCTGTGCTGGCCACCAAAACTGAAGGCATGTTTTCAGATCTGACTGTTTGCGAGTTCCCTGGAGAATCAAGGAGAGGACTAGAGACTGATTGGGGATGTTTTGAGGAGATCCAAACTAAGCTACACTATCCCCAAATTCCTGCAGAAGAGCGAGCAGAAAGAGACTCTGAGCGCTCGGAGAAAGCAGCCGAGACCGAACACAACACTGAAACTCTAATCCAATCAGAGAGTCAGCAAACAGACAAAACCGAGCTCTCGCTCAAAGAACATGTTGAATTCAGAACTGAACTGATTGTTGAAACAATTGAAACACAGATCAGTTCAGAAGACGAGGAAGCAGAAGCCTTTGAGACAGAAAGTCGTTCACCTGTCATCAGAAATGTCCCTTTACAGCCACACAAGCTTCGTGAGTTCACAGAAGGACAATGCAAATCATCTCAAGGAACAATGGACACTTTCAGTGAAACACAGGGAAATCCAAGCACGTCTGAAACCACTGGAACTGCAGAGCATGTTTCAGATGACCAAGCAGATGTCAAACCCGTATCAGCGAGGTCTTTGAGCCCAACAGAGCTTCTGGAGGAACCTCTAGATCTGCAGGGCGAATCAGAGACCGCTTTAGAGCATGTAGAAGAAATAACAAATCAAGTCTTGAAGGAAATGATAGAAACAGAATGTAACTTAGTGCAAAAAACAGAACCTTTGGTAGGACTTTCAGCAGAAGAACCTGGCGATGCAGAACATCAAGTACCTGCACGGTGTGTGTCAGCATATGCTTCTGTCCTGGAAGAAGAACGGACGTTACTAGCTGAGACAATAGACAGTAGTGAAGAACATGTTAGTTCACCGGAGTGTGAAAGCACTGAAGCTGATGGACGTCATGAGCAGATGCAGAAGTCCATCGCTGGAGAAACAGTGTTGAGAAGTCATGAGGACTTGATGGAAGTCAGCAGACCTGGGACGAAAAGATGATTTGATCATGTGAGCAAAGGCCTTCCAGAGGTGAAGACAGAAGGAAAGTTTGATCTAATTCTACAGGTAATATAGAATAGTTTGTTGAGGAAAATGCAGAATTTGAAATATTCAAATGTCGTCCTACCAACGAGCTGAACCTAAACCTTAAAGGACAGTTTATCCTTAGGCTTTCGAGGACTCATCTTTAGACTTCAGCGTTCAGAAGTCTAGAATTGCTGTGAAGAATCCACTAGTCCGGCCTCCCAAAGACCCCAGAAAGCTGCTCTTCAGAGCCGTGGCCGAACCTCTGCTCCCACAGCCTTCAGATCGCAGGCAGACGGCCCAGGTCTCCGCTCCAAGCAAAGGCATGATTGGATTTAAACTCCCAGGTATTTACCAAAATAAGACCTTCATGAAAAGTATGTTCAGATTTGATTAGTACTTTAAATCAGTCCATTCTTTATGTATTTTGTGCTGGATGGTTTTCAGGGCTGCCAGTACTGAGGAAAACTGAGTTTGGGCAGAAAGCAGAAGCAGAGAGAACACTACAGCCACAGGTGCACACCAATGCCATTTCTGCACTTCACAAAATCATGGCATAGATTGGGATGAACTATTTATATATTTTTTTTATTCTATTTAAATAAATCAGACATTGATGAGTGCTGTTAGACAGCTGGAGCTGAGGCAGACCAGAAAATGTAGATTTTAAAACGTCTTAAAATGCAACAGTTTTTACTTTTATCCTATGAAAATTCTGAAAGAAAATGCTTCGTGAGCCGACTGTTGCTTTGTAGTAACGAACGCAACTTTCATTGCACAAGCTCTTATTCGGTGTTGTTGTTTCTAACATTGTGGTCATTTAAGCAGGCAGTTTGTTTCTTACATTCAGTTTAACAGCATTAACAGCAAGTCAAAATGGGCAAGCTTTCAACTAAACTGTATACATGCATTTTAAAGGCTTATACTTTGTTCTTGACCCGTCCATGCAGTAAATGCACGTTATTGAATGAGCGAGGTTTTCTAGAAAAATAATTCAACTGCTCAGGTAATTTCAGTGGTAGGTTAAGGCACATATTCATGTAGATACCTATTAAACTCCCATAATTCGCACACTGATATCGCACAAATATTTCTGGCCGTTTTCGCTCGTTGTCAGCCTCTGCTTTTCCTCAACAGACTGAAGCCTCCGCGTCAATGTAGCACGCCTTTGCTTTCTAGAGGGCTTAACAGAGTAGCCTGTTGTCATATGTTTATACGCGGTTAGAGGGCAGTAGTCCGCTCGCTGTTATATATCACTCCGCCGCTGGAGGGCAGCAGTAGTCCGCTCGCTGTTATATGTCACTCCGCCGCTGGAGGGCAGCAGTAGTCCGCTCGCTGTTATATGTCACTCCGCCGCTGGAGGGCAGCAGTAGTCCGCTCGCTGTTATATGTCACTCCGCCGCTGGAGGGCAGCAGTAGTCCGCTCGCTGTTATATGTCACTCCGCCGCTGGAGGGCAGCAGTAGTCCGCTCGCTGTTATATGTCACTCCGCCGCTGGAGGGCAGCAGGAGGGCGGCAGTAGTCCGCTCGCTGTTATATGGCACTCCGCCGCTGGAGGGCAGCAGTAGTCCGCTCGCTGTTATATGGCGCTCCGCCGCTGGAGGGCAGCAGTAGTCCGCTCGCTGTTATATGTCACTCCGCCGCTGGAGGGCAGCAGTAGTCCGCTCGCTGTTATATGGCACTCCGCCGCTGGAGGGCAGCAGTAGTCCGCTCGCTGTTATATGGCACTCCGCCGCTGGAGGGCAGCAGTAGTCCGCTCGCTGTTATATGGCACTCCGCCGCTGGAGGGCAGCAGTAGTCCGCTCGCTGTTATATGGCACTCCGCCGCTGGAGGGCAGCAGTAGTCCGCTCGCTGTTATATGGCACTCCGCCGCTGGAGGGCAGCAGTAGTCCGCTCGCTGTTATATGGCACTCCGCCGCTGGAGGGCAGCAGTAGTCCGCTCGCTGTTATATGGCACTCCGCCGCTGGAGGGCAGCAGTAGTCCGCTCGCTGTTATATGGCACTCCGCCGCTGGAGGGCAGCAGTAGTCCGCTCGCTGTTATATGGCACTCCGCCGCTGGAGGGCAGCAGTAGTCCGCTCGCTGTTATATGGCACTCCGCCGCTGGAGGGCAGCAGTAGTCCGCTCGCTGTTATATGGCACTCCGCCGCTGGAGGGCAGCAGTAGTCCGCTCGCTGTTATATGGCACTCCGCCGCTGGAGGGCAGCAGTAGTCCGCTCGCTGTTATATGGCACTCCGCCGCTGGAGGGCAGCAGTAGTCCGCTCGCTGTTATATGGCACTCCGCCGCTGGAGGGCAGCAGTAGTCCGCTCGCTGTTATATGGCACTCCGCCGCTGGAGGGCAGCAGTAGTCCGCTCGCTGTTATATGGCACTCCGCCGCTGGAGGGCAGCAGTAGTCCGCTCGCTGTTATATGGCACTCCGCCGCTGGAGGGCAGCAGTAGTCCGCTCGCTGTTATATGGCACTCCGCCGCTGGAGGGCAGCAGTAGTCCGCTCGCTGTTATATGGCACTCCGCCGCTGGAGGGCAGCAGTAGTCCGCTCGCTGTTATATGGCACTCCGCCGCTGGAGGGCAGCAGTAGTCCGCTCGCTGTTATATGGCACTCCGCCGCTGGAGGGCAGCAGTAGTCCGCTCGCTGTTATATGGCACTCCGCCGCTGGAGGGCAGCAGTAGTCCGCTCGCTGTTATATGGCACTCCGCCGCTGGAGGGCAGCAGTAGTCCGCTCGCTGTTATATGGCACTCCGCCGCTGGAGGGCAGCAGTAGTCCGCTCGCTGTTATATGGCACTCCGCCGCTGGAGGGCAGCAGTAGTCCGCTCGCTGTTATATGTCACTCCGCCGCTGGAAGGCAGCAGGCGCTCGCTGGCTGTAATGCGCCGCTAGGGGCGGTGGATGGTCTGTCTTTCTGAGAGCGAGGCGCCTGACGCCGGTAGAGGTTGTGGGAGGAAAGAGCGACGAACCGGGTGGAAGCCCTAAAAACGAACTGACGTTATACTCTTTAGATTGCTCTGTTTCCTACACGGCTGTCTGGAGTAATTAAAGGTACGTTTCGCATGGAAGTGTCCGTGTTTTTGAGCGGTTGATCTCGTTCTTTAAGGCCTTTAGCTGCTAAGGCTAACGCTAGCGCTGCTAAATTCCGGATCGACTCGCCTGAGGCTGGAAATACATCAGGACTCTTGACATCGCGGCGATTAATAAGTGTGTCTGTTAGTGTTGTTTGTCTGGAGTTTGTTTAATTAATCAGTGAGTTCTCAGGAAACTTGTGCCAGTCTAAGTTCACAGTCAACTTAAGCGAAACGAGCCAAGTAGTTTTTACGTTTAATGTAAGTTAGACCCTTGTAAAATTATCAATTTGACAACGTTTTGGATCAGGGAGACATTTAAAAGGTTGATTTTTAGCTGTTATTGCAATAAGAGCTGTCGTAATGCTCGGCTAATGTCGACACACGATTGAACTGTCATCCGAACTTGATTTAAATATCTCCGGGGTTTATTTTAAGCTTTTGAACGTTTATTAAATTCGTCGTTTGACTGAAATCAGGAGTTATTGAACTTCATGAAGTGCTACACAGTCAGCAGGTGTCTTTAAAGGCCAGTACCTCATCCACTGGTTTTGGGGCTCTCCTGTTTAATTTGCATACACAGCATGATGTTGTTAATCATAAATCATAAAATATTCAGATTTAACTGTTTTCAGAAAGACTTTGTCTTGAAAGAAAACGATTAACCTTATTAAAATTACTGTCTAAAATATGTACACAAACGGCCTGCTTCATGACGTCATGATGTGACGTCATTTGCGTTGACTAACGGTTTACTCGGTGTGTAAATCCTGCGTCACTACCGTCGCCACATATCAGACAGGTTTTTAGACACTCCCCCATCTATCATTGGTGGAGCAAACACGTTAGTCCCGCCCTCAGCGCACGCGATTGGTTGAAGCAGTAGAACACAACAGCCGGTTTATAACATTGATCTTTATAAATCATATTTATATAAATTTATAAGCCAAGTTTCTGTTGTGATCAGTGGTTTTTGAAAGTAAGAATCCTATTTATTTTTCTCCACAATTTTTTAACAATAATTTCTAAACCTTTAAAAACCAACCTGCTTTGAGCTACAAGGTTAATACACTGATGGCATATTATTTCAGCTGATTTTTTTAATCATCGTGTTTAACAGCAGAATTGTGGGTAAAAACTACATTACTCATGATTCTGCAAAGGATTCTCCGTCAATCAGTGAATGGATAAAGCAATTAATGCCAAAATAACTCTTTAGCGCCCACTCACTATCAAGAAGAGCTCTCAAACTACTTAAATTCATATATATTTTTTTATTTATGCAATAAACGTGTAATACATTGTTTCTATATATACAACATCTGTAAGTCAATTTTATATTTACTTATTTATATTCCATCGTTTGTCTCATTAAAGCAGTTGTCTTGTAACTTTGTCTTTTTGTCTGATTTTGAAATACTTTATTGCTTCAAATCAAATAAAAGAAGCTCATGCTGTTGTGATCCACATTGAAGCTGGATGGATTTTTTTCAAATCCCTGTGGGAATAAAATACTTCTGGAAAAGTGGGCAGCAACTGTTAAGGCACTTTATGACGCTGTTTTTGGGCTGTTTTTTTAATCTTTGCATATTAAACTGGAATAAGAGAAGTAGATAGTATAGTAAATGTTGACTATTTGAAAATATGTCTTCCTTCTTCTTTGGTTCACACAGGTTTCCTCCCCTCCGCGTCTCGTGATCTGTGTGTGTGTGTGTGTGTAGCACACAGCAGCGATCCGTCATGGGGGACATGAGTGATCTGGACAGACAGATCGATCAGCTCAGGAGGTGTGAGCTCATCAAGGAGAACGAGGTCAAAGCCCTGTGTGCCAAAGCCAGGTGATCACAGAAGACCAGTCCGCAGCTCGCAAAGGCATTTCTGTGTTGATCATGTGCTCATACGACTGTGTGTGTCTTCCAGAGAGATTCTTGTAGAGGAGAGTAACGTACAGAGGGTGGACTCTCCGGTCACAGTGAGTATTCAGAAACAGAGCGCAAGACAGAAAAGAAGAGATGTTGAAGGATGTTGGAAACCAAACCGTTTTGGTGACCATTGACTTCCAAAACAAAACCATTTTTGAGATATTTTCTCAAATATCATCTTCAAAATTATAATAAACTATTTTTTTATATTTTTTTCATTATGTGTATGGGTCGTTAATAGCCGTGTCTTTTCTTCAGGTGTGTGGTGACATCCATGGGCAGTTTTATGACTTGAAGGAGTTGTTTAGGGTGAGTCTGAGTTCTTTCACATGAAAAGCAGGGCTGGACAGTAAGGACTGCTGCGCCGTCACGAAGGATTATCGTTTGCACATGTTTTTAAGCCTTGATTAATTAAACATTAAAGCGACCTGAAAGTGTTCAATTAAGACGCAAAACTCAGAGGCTGCTGATATGTTTTAAGCAGCACAATTTCACTGAGCTAAAGTCAAGTCCATTCTGTTGCTTCTTGCTCCAAATTTAGAAATTCTACAATCCAATTTAAATCAAACATTGCATCATTTCATTTGTATCTTTGTTCTATATATTCAATTGTGCTATTGCTTGAAATTTGTTCTTATTTACTGACTGTTCACTTGTCTTTAATAATGTTTGAACTTTATATTTATTAGTCTAGTAGCTAGAAGTAATTTTGGTGTCACATAAGCTAATTAGAATACAAGATAAAATGGGTCAAAAACAATGATAACAAGCTATTTTATTTTTTAGTGGCAGTATCAGTGAAAATGTTGGCAGGGCAAGTGAAAATCTGAACCAGTCGCCTGACCGGGCCAGTAGAGAAAAATCCTTAGCGCTGAGCCCTGAAAACTAAATGCAGAATGATCAAGTAATGTATAGAAAATAATAAGAGTTATCTTATCCAATGGGCATTACTTTACACGTCAAGTCAAATGTATTGATATTGCTTATTTCACAATACGCATTGCCTCAAAGCAGCTTTACCGAAAATCATGTTTATAATCTTTAAAGTAAAAATATCTTTGTGCTTTATAGTCATATTTAGCTAATTAGAGCTGGTGGAAAAAGTTGTGTTTACATACTTATAAAACTTTATTTAGAGAGCCGTGCAATAATATAGTTGACATTTTGCGGTAATATGCATCACTTTATCAGTGTACTGTATGTGTGTGGATAAAGTTGGATTTACTATAGATCTTTTAAAAGTTTTTCCTTGAAAAATATTAGAATTTTTATCAGATATTAATTTGAAATATTGTGTATAAGTGTTTTTCATTTTTATTTTGTTTGTAAAAAAAATTATTTTGTTAAATTTCGTTCAATTCATTTAAGTATTGTTATTAATTTGATAAATATTATTTTTATTTTTCTCGAGTTTGCCATGAATATGGCCTTTAATGCTGGAATGACATAAAATAAAAATATTCACATGCTAGAGTTATTGGACCGTAATCTAACTGGAATATACTGGTTAATAAATCAGTATTTGAACATCTGTTGTCCTTCAGGTGGGAGGCGATGTTCCAGAAACAAACTACCTCTTCATGGGAGATTTTGTTGACCGAGGCTTTTACAGCGTCGAGACCTTTCTGTTACTTCTTGCCCTGAAGGTGCTGTCATTATGTTGTTCAGGACATTTGGAACGAGATGTTATTGTTGTTATCGTAATAACTGTACATACACTACCAGTCAAAAGTTTGGAATAATTTTTTTGTTTAATGTTTTTGGAAAAATTCTCTTACAAAGTATTCTCTCCAATACTGTAAAATAGTTTTACAATTTAAAACAGCTGTTTTCTATGTGAATCTCTGTTAAACTGTAATTTATTTCTGTATCTTTATTTATTTATTTATTTCTCAAAGCTGTATTTTCAGCATCATTCCTCCAGTCTTCAGTGTCACATGATCTTCAGAAATCATTGTAATATGCTGATTTGCTGCTTGTTTATGATTAATAATGGCTGTTGTTATTATCCATGTTTAAACAGTTTTTACTGCTTAGTATTTTTGTGGAAACTGATCATTTTTTTTTTCAAGAGTCTGATGAATTTGAATTTGTAAATATATGAACTTCTTTACTGTCACTTGATTTCAGCATCATTTGTTTTTCAGAATTGATGATGAGAAATGTTTGTTGAGCAGCAAATCAGCATATTAGAATGATTTCTGAAGATCATGTGACACTGAAGACTGGAGTAATGATGCTGAAAATACAGCTGCGCATCACAGAAATAAATTACAGTTTAACAGATATTCACACAGAAGTCTTTCTAATAAAGCGTGATCTTAATCCTGGCAGGTGCGTTATCCAGACAGAATCACGCTGATCCGGGGAAATCACGAGTCCAGGCAGATCACGCAGGTGTATGGCTTCTACGACGAGTGTTTGAGGAAGTACGGCTCGGTCACGGTGTGGCGGTACTGCACAGAGATCTTCGATTATCTGTCCCTCTCTGCCATCATCGACGGCAAAGTGAGGCTCTCCGTCTGATTGCTAACGAGGTTGTCTTGCTGCGTGAGAACCGGCTGACGAGGATGTGTTTGTTGTGACCCGCAGATCTTCTGTGTTCACGGCGGCCTGTCGCCCTCCATCCAGACTCTGGACCAGATCCGCACCATCGACAGGAAGCAGGAAGTGCCTCACGACGGGCCCATGTGCGACCTCCTGTGGTCGGATCCTGAAGGTAGTTCTGCTTTCTGGATGTTCTCCATCATCTGAACTAGGGATGGCAACGATTAATCGACGATTGATTAATAAGAGATGCAATCGATTAAAGGGATAGTTCACCCAAAAATGAAAATTCTGTCATTAATTACTCAGCCTCATGTCGTTCAAAACCCGTAAGACCTTCATTCATCTTCGGACACAAATGAAATATTTTTGATGAAATCCGAGAGCTCTCTGACCCTCCATAGATCGCAATGCAATTACCACAATCAAGGTCCAGAAACGTAGTAAAGAGATCGTTAAAATAATCCTTGTGACATCAGTGGTTCAACCGTAATTTTATGAAGCTACGAGAATACTTTTTGTATGCAAAGAAAACAAAAATAACGACTTTATTCAAAAATTTGTCTCCTCCGCGTCACTCTCCTCTATCACATACATAAACAACGTATGCTGTTCTGTGTCAGCCGCACCACACGGATACATTGTTTTCGTTCAAATCAAAGCGTAAATAAACGTACAAAACATATCCGTGTTTTGCGGCTGACACGGAACAGCATGAATGCAAAAGCATGGTCACGATGTAACATTTGCCTGCTAACCCATTATTTATCTTATAAACAAAGCTTTGTACCTCACTTGTGTCATACTCACATAAACGTGTTTTTCTTTAGCTCCGCCGGTGGAAGCGGTTCTCTGACAGCAGCTCAGAAACACGTGCTGCAGTTAAAGGGTTAGTTCACCCAAAAATTTAAATTAGCCAATAAATTACTCCCCCTCAAGGCATCCTAGGTGTATATGACTTTCTTATTTCAGACGAATCCAGTCGGAGTTATATTAAAAATGGTCTTTGATCTTTCAAGCTGTTTAATGCCACTCAGCGGGTGTTGCATGCATCAGTCCAAAAGAAGATAAATAAAAAGCGCCCATCTATAAGAAAAAGTGTCTCACACGGCTCCAGGGGGTGAACAAAGGCCTCCTGTAGCTAATCGATGCGTTTTTGTAAGAAAAATATCCATATTCAAAACGTAATAATCACTTTAATGTAGCTTGCGCCAGCAGTTGTACACAGAAGCAGCTCCGGGCGGATGACGTATGAGTTCAGCGCTGCGCATGCGCCGGTGCGTCTCGTGAAAACCAACACTTGTTTACAGGAGCAAAGGAAGCAAAGTTTCCTTACTTTAGCAAAGGAAAACCAGTCTCCTCTTGGCTTATATCGAAATCCTCCGACATTATTCTTTACAAATCCTCGTTTTCTACTTTTACTTAGTGACCGTTGTTTTGTTTTGATCTCTCCGCTGCGCTTCTGCGTGCGTTACTTCTGAGCCGCGCATGCGCAGCGCTGACCTCATACGTCATCCTCCTGGAATTGCTTCCAGTGTAGGACTGTTGGCGCAAGCTACATTCAAGTGATTATTACGTTTTGAATATGGATATTTTTCTTACAAAAACGCATCAATTCGCTACAGAAGGCCTTTGTTCACCCCCCGGAGCCATGTGAGACACTTTTTTTTAATAGATGGGCGCTTTTTATTTAACTTCTTTTGGACTGATGCATGCAACACCCGCTGAGTGCCATTAAACAGCTTGAAAGATCAAAGACAATTTTTAATATAACTCTGACTGGATTCGTCTGAAAGAAGAAAGTCATATACACATAGGATGACTTGAGGGTGAGTAATTCATGGGCTAATTTTCATTTTTGGGTGAACTAACCCTTTAAGTTTGGGATCATTTTATTTTAAATGCCAATGATGTCAACTGCAAGCATTGCGATTGTGTTTTAAAATACAACAACATTTAGCGGTCTCCATGATGGGATATGAAACTGAGTGACACTGCAGTAGACGCATTTTGCAGCATTAAGGTTAACGATTAATGGAATAATTGATCATTAATTTAAACGACGATCGATCATGTAAAGGGTTGAGCCTTGCCATCTCTAATGCAAGCGTGTGTCTCTGCTGCAGACACTACTGGATGGGGCGTGAGCCCGCGGGGAGCCGGATATCTGTTCGGAAGTGACGTCGTGGCCCAGTTCAACGCCGCTAATGACATCGACATGATCTGCAGAGCGCATCAGCTCGTTATGGAGGGGTACAAGTGGCACTTCAACGAGACGGTTCTCACGGTGTGGTCCGCTCCCAACTACTGCTACAGGTGTCCCCACAATCCCCTGCAGCATGACCCAAATACATATCTTATTGGAATCAGTCTTGTTTTAGTATCCTCGCTTTATTATTATAGTTTTCATTCTTTTTTTTTCTTAATTAGTTGTTGTTTTCATGTTTTCAGTCTTTATTTTTATTTTAAAGTTTTAGTGGGGTTTTTTCACATTATTTGTTAATGTCTAATTTTTAATTCAGAAATGTTAGTTATTTTAGTTCATCGAGTAGGGATGCACCAAAATGAAAATTGAGCCGAAGGCTGAATACGAATACTGTTTTTTGTGTTTTTTTCCACATGTATTTTGCCAATTTTATTCCACCATTGCATAAATTAGCCAAAATGTGCTTTTTACCATTTTATCTTGCTTTTCAAATAAAAAAATCAATTACAAAACAACAATTTAAAAATATTTACTTCACACTAATCATTTGTTAACATTCTAGCAGATATTATATCAACAAAGCACAATTTAACTTAAAATTAATAAGCGAGACCCTGTTCTTGAATCAGGAATGTGTTTTTTTACTGTACAAATAAAAGCGGATCAGAAGAGACTTCTTTTAAAACATTAGAAAATATTACAGATCCCAATTTGAACACTATGTGTGAATGTTACAATAAATGTTGTACTTATTGTTATCTTTAATTTACAGAACAACAGTAAAATCACAACACTAACATTTATGAATGTTGGAGTTCTAGCTTTATAAAGAGCGCGCCTCACTCTGCGCTGGTTTCTGTTCGATCGCATCACGTCATTGTTCACTTATTCAGCCGAACACCGAAATAGCTTTTTTTGTTTGTTTGTTTGTTTTTTTGCTGTTTTCGGCCGAATAATTTCGCTTGCCGAACATTTGGTGCATCCCTAACTTCAAGTGAACTAAATCAAAATAAGAAGTGTTGGCTTGGAAACTAGCTGGAATTCATTCTTTGAAAAAAAAAAAAGAAAAAAAATTTTTAAGAAGTAAATAAAATGTTTTCCAGTTAACAATTATTTCAGTGAATTGAAAGCCATTATTGTCATTGTATTTTTCTGTATACAACTAAAGTATTTAAAGTAAGGAAGATTATTTTTTTATGGTTTTAGGTTTAATCAGCTATGATAACCCTGATTAGAGTTGTGGTTTTGTGTTACTCAGGGCTGCAGACTGAGACTAATATAGTAACAATAGATAACCAACAATCATTTAAATCTAGTCTGGAAACGTTGTGTTTTTGTCGATTACGTCTTTATAGTGAATGTGAGAGTTCCCTGCTCAGCCGAGTCTGATTCAGACCAGCTCAGTGAATCATTCACAACTGTCTCACTGAAGCACAGCTCATTTTATGGTTGTCTAATTCAAACCGTTGCATGTAATTGAAGATTTGTTCTACTAAACGGTGTTATCAAGAAAACACAGCACTTATGGTCCACTTTTCTTTGTCTCAGGTGTGGTAATGTGGCGGCGATCTTGGAGCTAGACGAGCACCTGCAGAAAGAGTTCATCATATTCGAAGCTGCTCCACAAGAAACGAGAGGCATTCCCTCCAAAAAGCCAGTCGCTGACTACTTCCTGTGAGCGAGTCCGGATCCAGCGCTCTCAGCAGGAAGTGCTGCCCTGTGTGTTCTTGTATTTCTGTTTGTTTCCCTCTTAATTGTGCTTTTTTTTACTTTCTCTGTAATATTCCTTTTTTTATTTCTATTTTCCATCGACTTTCACATTCTCTCTGCTGTCAAGACACACAGTGGCATGATATCGTCCTCCACGGCTGTGCCATGTCTGGCTCTCAGACTCACGGTACGCTGTAGATGTAGACGTTTATAATGTACGTGAACAGCAGCAGGGCTTTCACGGTGTATTTCTGCAGTTCCTCAGAAAGATGCATTTTAAGCGGCAGGTTGTTGGACATTTTATTTTATTTTTCTTGCTTTGCATTCTCTTCTCATGTAAATGGTAAATGCGTGAGAGAATGGATATGCTTCGATTATAGTTTACGGTCATCTGTTTTCTCCGGAGTCATGGTTGGAGAGTTGTGTGCAGGAACACGGACACGAGGACTCGACTGTTCTCTCTACAGGACTTATTGTTGATTTTTATTTTTAATTTGTGAAAATAAAATGTACTTTTGTATGAATTTAAGATGTGAGTTTCTGGTTTTCTTCATGCGTTTGTCAGATATCATGCGCCTGCTCAAATCAGTGTTAAATCCACTGAAATAGTTTTCTAACTGAATACTGGAGTAATGTGATGTGTGTAAAAATAAACAGTTAAGAACACTGACACAACTTCAGCAAGTATCCCATTTTCAATCACCTTTCATAATATTATTTTACAAATAATTTGGGCAAATGTAAATTGCCACTCGTTCATATATTCAAATAAAAAAAGAGTGACCTTGTGAATATGTAATCTTTAATACATATAATTTAAAATATGTATAGTGTATATTTAAGAAATGAATGCTTTTATTCTGCAAGGATGCTTTAAGCTGATCTAAGGTGACAGATTATTTATATCTCAGTTAATGCAGGTTTTTTATTTTTACTTTCTATTGATCAAAATGCACCATTTAAATTAAAAAAGCATCTTGGTTTCCACAAAAACATGAAGCAGCACAACACTGAGAATGAGAAATGTTTCTTTAGCAAAAAGCAACGGTGCAGTCTCCTGTAGTTCCGCTCCAGGCCGGCGGGCGGCGGAAGAG